AGGGAAGAAAACCTTCAGCCTCAGAGAAAAGCATTTATTACTTTATGAAATTCTTTTCAGTTTTGGCTGAGATGTAAACTTGGTAATTTCCTGGGTTTTGTACTTGATTTCTTAGCAAAATGCTGGCAGTTTGTCAAAACATAAACAGTGTAACCTGGCACGCTGTGCCACTAGAATAATGGCACGTTGCACTGGCAGGGACACAGTCTCCTCAAGGAACAGAGAGAAGAGACTTGGGTAGACTGGACTTGTAATGCAATGTTGTCTTACCTGTTGGTGATTGAACAAACAAATAACCTCAATATCCCACTTCCCAGTTAAGAAAAACATCCCCTCTCTTTGGCAGGCGATGTAGCTGCTCTTGTTGTGTGGTGTCATACACAGCTGGCAACAGGTGACTGGGAACTGTTGGGATTCCTCTACCCCCTTGTTCTCACTTGAAGAAAAGACATGGAAAACAGCAGCCCTCTCCTCTGTACACCAGTTTGCTTTGGTTAAGAGCTGCTTCAGTTGCAGTGTCAGGCATTCAAAAGTTATGAAAAGCCAGTCGTTGGTGTCACCTTTCAACATCTCTGTGCACTGCTGAGGGACCTCGAGGGCTGGGCCCAGTCCTGGGCTCTCAACAGGAGAGACCCGGAGGGGCTGGAGCGTGTGCAGGGAAGGGAACGGAGCTGGGGAAGGGGCTGGAGCAGCAGGAGGGGCTGAGGGAGCTGGGGGGGCTCAGCCTGGAGAAAAGGAGGCTCAGGGGGGACCTTCTGGCTCTGCAAGTCCCTGACAGGAGGGGGGAGCCGGGGGGGGTCGGGCTCTGCTGCCAGGGAACAAGGGACAGGAGGAGAGGGAACGGCCTCCAGCTATGCCAAGGGAGGCCCAGGTGGGGCATGAGGAGGAATTTGTTGCTGGAAAGGATGGTCAGGCCTTGGCAGGGGCTGCCCAGGGGATGGTGGAGTCACCCTTCCTGGAGTGTCCAAAAAGCGTGTAGGAGTGACACTGAATGGGTTGATGGACTTGGCAGCAGTGCTGGGGGAACAGTTGGACTTGAGGATCTCAGAGGGCTTTTTCAATCCAAATGGTCCTGAAACTACAATATCATCTTTACCTACAGCACTCAATGCTCCTGCCAGCTCTCTCACATATTAGTATCTTGGTATATCCGTGTGTGCGTCAGGAAGATTCCCTGTTCATGTGTAGAAACCTGAAGGTGCACAGAGAAGAGAGCGATGGAGGGAATTGCTTAAATAGAAAGGATCACCTGTGATGGAGGCAGGTGAATGAGAAGAATTCTCCTTTATCCTCATTTCTGCTGCAGTCTCAGTGTGTGTTGCTGAGCAAGCCACTTCAACCAAAACAGATTTAGTGGCTACTCTCTGTTTGTCTCATCCCCGGGACCCTCCAGGCCTGATATGGAGAAGTGCTGAGCACTCACATCCACAAAGGCAATCGATGGGCAGAGTGGTCACTCAGCGTTTCTGGAATTAAGGAGGAGTGGACTGGCTCTCTGGGCATGGGGAGGACAGCAGGTTCTGGGTGCCAGCCTTTCCTCTGCAAAGATTTGCAGCATGGCCTCTGGCATGGCTTGTTTGGGCTTTTTTGTCTTCGTGACTCTGTTGTGGACACAGTGCATCTTGCAGTAATATAAATTAATTAATGTCTGTGAGACGTTCCTGGCTAAAATTTCCCCCAATATCACATGAAATTAATACTTTTTCTATGTGTAGCAGATTTTGGTTGGTATAGAGGATACAGTATTCCTGTAGATATATCTGGTATACACATCACACACATATATGTACAGATAGTTTGAGATGAACTAGCACATAAAGGAGCTGCACCTGCTTTCCCTGAAATCAATAACAGAATTTCCATTCATTTCAATAGTTACAGGAGATGATGGATTAGGAGAACTTAATTTGGGCTTCGGGGAATTATATTCACAACTTTAATTGTATTCATATAAAATGCACATTGATCCTTGAACAAATTCTCAGTACAGCTGGCCATTGAAAAAAAAATCAGAACTTTGCAAATGCCTCTGAACATTCTTCATGTGATTAACTGTTCTTTTAAAGAGAAGAGAAGGCAGGGATGTAATAGAAGGTATTGCCCTGTTTGCAATTATTTCGAGTAGTAAAACAGATTAAGTAGAGGCTTCAGGCATGAGCTTAGTGAATGTAGCCATATCTAAACAAACAGTGGCAAATCTGCTCTTTCACTCTGAATTTTAAGATTAAATAAATGGCAGAGTTGTTTAAATTATATGTAAGCACATGCAAATATTTGATTAATGAGGTCTTGACACTTTAGCTTGTAATTCCTCCTCTCTTATTAAAATCGTCCACCAAATTTCGAAGTAGAAATTAAATCTTTCTCTAATTAAAAGAGTTACTTTTCAAACAAGATTGTGCACTATGACAAATGCTACTGAGTTCTGCATTAGCACAAAAGCTCCTGAGCTCTCAAATCTGTAGGTCTTCTGTATAAGCAAACAAGGTTCTCTGGTAAAATCTCTGTGACTCATCTAATAATGATATGGAGAAATACCTGGCTAGTGCAACAGCTCAGGTGCTGATCAGCATTTCCCTCACACTTAACCTCCTTAGGCTTCCTTTTCTTCCTGCAGCAGTTAATTTGAAGAACTTGGATGTTTAAGGGGGAGGGAAGTATGAGAGGAAAGAATTCAAGTCATGACACAGGTTTTCATTCACCTGTGTGCCTACAGATGATCCTGTGGCATGAACTATGAGCTGATTTCCGTAGTGCACATTGCCATTTAAATATTTCTAGGATTCCTGTAAAGCACCAGGGTACCATAAGGGTTAAAATTCGTGCTCTTATCACTTTGGTAGGGAAGAGGAACATAAGAAGGCTCCATCTAAATCAATATGAGTTTTGCTTTTGACTTCAGAGAGTGTGAAGGACGAAATCTTGGACTCAGCTGCAGTGGGGGGGATTTAATCTGGATTTACACAGGTGAAACTGGGAAGAAAGGGTCACAGAGTGGCTGAGCAAACATAACAACAACTGGCAGCTGAAGAGGATGGTCCTGCACCACTTGGATGATCTGCTCAGTCCAGACCTGCTCAGCAATGGCTTTGCTGCTTATCCGATTCCCAGTGATCCCACTTGGCTTGTTAAAGACAAAGGAAACTCGGCTTTTTGCTGCCAGGTTAGTTTTCTGCTGATTTAATGAGTTGAACTGGGTCAAACAAAGTTGATGCAAGGATAAAGAGTAGAAACATGCGGCTTGGGGAACTTCTCTGGAGGCAGGACCCGCCAACAGGACAGAACTCATTTTCTGAGCTCTGCTCATGTTTCCATGTGAGCAGCTGTGGTGGGAACAGAAGCAGCAGTGGGGTTGCTGGGGTCTCCAGCCAACCCCAGTCTTCTTGGGATTCTATTGTTAAATAATTGTTCTTTGCATGCCATACCGAGTGGAGGAACCCGGCATGGCCTACCACGTTGGCCATGGGCTTAAGCTAATAAGTTTTGGGGGCAAACAGAGGAGAAATTTCACTCTGTGTGTGGTGTTAATCATAAATATTGAGGAAAAAAATGAATAGTGGCTGAGTCCCTGATTCCACTGGCTGCTGATCCTGCCTGTTTGAGATTTTTATTCTGATAGTGCACCGAAATTCTTCAGTGTAAGCCTGCAAAGCTCACATATTCAGGAAATACTCATATTTAAAGCAAATAAACTAGTACAAGAAAGCTTGTGGGCCTTTATTGAAGTGCACAAAGCTCTTTACAAATATCCCTTGTTTGTAAAAACAAATGTACAAGGACAACTGGTGGAATCCTAAACAACACTTTTGCCAATGAGCTGGCTCTTTGCCAGAACCAGGACACATTACCTTCCCTCTTCAGCTGCTGTAATTAATATTCATTTTTTACTTCATGGAAATCACTCCTGTTAACTTCCAAACCCGAGCCAGCATCCCTGAACGGAATCCTGCTGTCAGAGTTCACACCGGTGCCAGCTCACCGCTATTCCTCTGGGTTTCGGGGAAGTTTACGCTTTAATTTTTTTTTTTTTTTTCCCCCAGCGAGGCGCAGGTGTGCCCAGTCTCGGGGCTGCCTGCACTGCCGGGGCCCGGGGGTGCCGCGGCTGCAGTTCGCCGTCCCTCCGAGCCGAGGCGGGGGCACACTCCGCCCGCGTTTGGCAGCCCCGCGCCTCGGCTCCGCACCGCGGGGGAAAAGCAGAGGGAGTGGCGGCGGCGGGCTGAGGTGAGCGGCGAAGAGGGATGGCACGGGATGGGATGGGGGTCCCCGCGGAGGGTCAGGGCACCTTTAACAGCGAGGCCGCCCGAGCTGGGGGAGCCGCAGCCCCGCGCGGGAGCAGGTGCGGGAAGGAGCAAAGTCATTCGCCCGAGCGGCTCCTGGCCCCAGTTTGGGGGCAGCGAGCCCAGCGGAGTGAGAGGCTCCGAGGGGTGGGTGCTGCTACGTGGCGCCGTCAAGGGGAGAAGCACCTAAATATAAAATAGCTGGCGGCATCCTGCTTGCCTCGGATTAAACTCTGCGCTCCTCTTCTAATATGCAGTGTCGGAGCTCCTCGGTACTCTAGAAATATAGTCTGAGTCCTTCTGAAGGCTAGGGTTGGCTATCAGGATTCCAAAGGAACTAACAGGCTCCTCTGAAAATACTGGGGAAGCTCAGGTTTTATTCAGCTTCTGTGCAGAAAATTTGTGATGCATAAATCTACTTTGCCGTTTGGATCTGAGATGATATTGAAACACTCAAAATTTACACGGTCATCTTAACTGGAAAGGTCAGGAGTGATTATTTTCCTTTATAAAAGGTTTCACAGACAGGTGTTGGTGGTTTTGCAGATGGAGTTGCCCGCAGAAGTTTGAGGGAGGAGCACAGGTGAACCCAATAAAGGGTTTGATTGCAAGAGGGGAGGGGAGTTTGGCGTGATTAAAGAGGCAAACTCGGGTTTTGTACTCACTTGGCTTGGGAAAGCTCTCTTCCAGAAGTGAGGGGGCCCAGAAGTGCCTGTCCAGTCCCATCTCGGAGATGAGTAGAACGGATAGGGCGAAAAAGTGAACATTTGCGTTTGAAACCAGCAGTGGTTTAGCTGCCGCTCACCTGCGAGGTGTTTTCCCCTTGCATGGGTAATGAAAGGCTGAATCAACGTGGAGCTTGTTTGCTAAGAAATGAAGGTATATGTTGCTTTAAGGTAACACCCGGGGGTTTGCCCCTTCAGGGCCTCCTGTGTTCCTGCAGCAGGTGCAATTCGGCACAGGTTTATGTGGGACGGTCCCGAGGAGGAGCGGGAGCCCGTGGTGAGGCTGACCCGCCGCGCACCCCGGACAGACAACAGGTCCCGCGGTGCTGAGTCCCCGCCTGAAACTTTGCACGCCGAATTCTGACGGATGGTAGCCGAGACATTGATCCTCCCTGGAAAAAGGCCTACAGGTGGCAACTGGGGGTAAGGCATCACCAGCAAACGCACAGACTCGGCGGCCGGTGCGCGTCGGTCCGGAATTGGGATCAGTAAGTGCCGGGAGGGGGTTTGTCGGAGGCTCCTTCCCTGGCGCCGCGGAGCATCTCCCGCTCGGGCAGGGCGGGGGGCGCGGGGTGGGAGCGCAGCGCTGCCGGCGCGCCGTGTCGGGAGGGCTGGAGCGGAGGAGCGCGGCCCGAGCCCCTGCCCTGTCTGCCGTGCTAGTCCTGCCCTGGGTGTGCTCGCGGCCGGGGCAACAAGGCGGGCGGTGAGGCTGCGAGGGAGTTGGCCGCTCCATCCCGCAGGAGCGGGGGGCGGAGGACCGGCTGCCGAGGCAGGGATGCCCGGAGCCCTCGCAAATGCTTGCCGTCTTCTTTCCTGCCCCCCCCCCCCCTCCCGCCCCCCAACCTCATTCCTCACCCCTCCCTCCCTCCCTTTTTTTTTTTTCCGTTTGCCTATGCGGGGAGGCGGCCGCGAGCAGCCGCTCCGCCGCAGCGCAGCTCCGCTCTGCCTGCGCCCCCCGCGCCGGAGCCGCGGCAGCGCGGGGTGAGCTCCGCGGGGTGAGCTGAGCTCCGCGGGGTGAGCTCGGCCGGGGGGGCAGCGCCGCCGCTCCCCGCCAGGTCCCCCCGCCCCCGCGCAGCCACCGCCGCAGCCGGCGCTGCCCCGGCGGGCGGAGCGGCGCGGGCGCTGCCCCCGCTCCCGCACGGACCCGGCGGCACCGGGGCCGCCCCCGCGGGCCTCGCTGCGAGAGGGCGGCGGCCCCCGCGCCCGGCCCCGTCCCGAAAGTTTCCCGGTGGAAGGGGGTAAGTCGGCGGGGAGGGAGGGATGCGCAGGTGGGATCGCTGGCGGGGTGTGGGGGGGCCGGACTGCGCTGCCGCGGCTCTTCGGGATGCCTCAGCCCGGAGGCTCCCACCCTGCTGGGGCAGGGCTCGGCGGCCGGAGCTGGGAGAGCCTCCTCCAGCGAGGACGAACACCTATCTCCTCCTCTCCTTCCCCATCGGTCCCTGCCGCCAGGCAGAGGAGAGACTGTGACCTCAACTGTTGTCGTGCCGCTTTGACATGTAGGGTTGATTTGCAAGGGCTAGTGTACAAATGCAGTGTTTAGACTTTAATATCTGCATATGGTAATGGATAAAATAAAGGAACCCCTTAGTATTCCGCTCTTGTAATACTTGGCGCGGGAGAGGCTGCTGTTACATCTCATTTCCGAGCTCATTTGGGGAAAGCGGCGTGATGCTGGGTGCCTTCCCTGCTGTCTTTTTTCGAGTGCCTCAGCCTGTCAGGCATCGGGGAGTCCTGCGAAGGGGAGACTGGAAGCTCCTTGCCTTGTAACTGCAAAGCTGCGGGGAGACACCTTCTCGGGCTCGGAAAGCCCCGTGAACGCTTTGCGAGTGGGATTACAGCGGGAGTCAGCAGGGTGACCCCGGTCCCCCGACTCGTGGTTGGTGATGTGACTCTGCTGCCTGCCTTTTACACACCCCAGTGATTTTATGTATCCCTGTGACCGAGCCGAGCTCTGGGTTTGAAATGTTGTGCTAACTTGAGAAATGAACGGTGAGGTAGCTTTGGGGGCTGGAGCCTGAGCACTGTGAGATTACCTGGGGAAGAGCAAGACAGACGTGTGGGTGGTGGTGTCATCTGGGGGCACATGCCGGGAGAGGCAGACGCCGGCTTTCCAGCCCCTGACGTGTTCCAGCAGTGGCCGTTAATGACGACTGCGTGGATGTTAATTTAGAGGGAGGGGCGTGGTAGTGGAAGGGGCTGTTGGATGCAAATCAATTCCCATGGACTCATTTGGACTCCGCCGAGGTGGGGGGGAAAGCCCCAGTGTTTGCAAGGCAGGTTGCTCCCACATCCCATCGTGAAAAGTTAAGGTGGAAAGATTTTCCTTGTCTGTTCCCACCCACCCCCCGACGGGAGGAGGTTTCGTGACATGTAAAATTCTCAAACGGCTCTTTGGGGTGTCTGCGTTTTAAGCAAATACGTTTCTCACTTCGACTGAGAACAGTTTTGCTTTCTGATGAGTGGAAACTGGGGAAAAAGAGAGATTTAAAAATAAAATCAGACTGTATAGTCGAAGTGGTAAAGCAAATGTTCTCAAGATCCCACGTAGCAAGCTGGGAATGAACGCAAACTGTTCTTGCTGTGTAACTCTTTCAAATTCAGTTCTCCCTGGAAGATGCGATCTCCTCCTGCTTCCCAGCAAAGCCCGATCTGCATGGCCGGTCAATCAGGGAATGTGCATGAGGTGCTCAGGCTCCCGAAGCAGCAGTGGGAGTGTGTTGGCACTGCAGCACAAGTGACAACCTTGTCACACGCGGAACCCGGCATGGACAGCAACGGGGTGGGAATCCACCCTACTTTAAACATTTTGGTGTGCCAAAGCTTTGCAAAATTTAAGGCAGGTTACTCCCAAGTCGGGGACAACTGGCTCTCCCCTCTTGCTTCAGCTGCTGTGGATCTGGCAGGCCCCCTTATGCCACCCTCTGGAAGGCACAGTGACTGTAGGTGACACGTGCTTGATTTTCAAGAGAATGACCATAGACCGGTAAAGGGACACTTAGATCAGGCTTGCTTATGTTTTTGTTCAAAGTTTCATAGTGCAGCTTTTCACATCCTGCTTTGCCTATAACTTCCAAATGACAGTATGTGCTCACATTCGGGAAAGTGTAAGAGTATCTAATTCCGTTGGCAAAATGGGAACGGTTATTAGAGCAATCTGCTAATCATCTGACAGGTAAGTACTGATTCAGTGTGCACTTCGCAGATGATGAGGTTCAGTCAGCTTTGTGGGACTATAGTTATTGTTCATTCTTCCCCTGTCCACCAAATGAAGCATCATTTTTGTGCATGTGTGTTTGTCAGATCTGGTCTCTAGGCTCTGATTTTCTATGCCCTAATGGAAGTCTGAAGCACGAAGTCTGTTGAGTTGCTGCACTGTGTATCCATGCTGTGCATGTATTTACTACTTGATAGGATAGCTTGGTGTCTGTTTGGGACAGCTACACTGCAGTGCTGGATAGGGACATGGGAACAGTGCTGTGGAGTGAAGCTTTGCATATGATATAAGAGCATGGATATCAGACAGAAGTTAGAATTTGGCTTAAGTTCTTTTTCCTCTGTTTACAAAATAAACTTCCGTAAGTTCCTTATGTATTGTTACTGGCACCTGTACACTTCAGGAACTACGTCTTTACTCGGTGGAATACATCCTTAAAAAGTACAATCCTTCAGGTGTCTCTCACTTACTTCTCCTTTCCTCCTTCCCATGCCTTAGTAGCCACATATGCATGGAGATTTACCCCTGAATCTGTGATTTAAGTCATTTAAGCTTTACACGTGGGACATAAGTTGTTAAAACTCTGCTTGTGGTTAGCAAACAGGTAAAGGAAATAAAACCACTAGCTTTGCACTTTTCCATTCCTGGCTTTAATGAACTTCTGGAAGCGATTATGCCTTAGATAAAATGCTCTTATACAGGAAAACAGGGTGAATGTTAGCTTTCCTTTTTGTTTTGTTTTTATGTTTGCATCAGGGCCTCTGTCCAGCCAAGCAGCAAAATCTGAAAAGAGGAAAGTAAATTTTGGTCTGAGTGCAGTTGTAACAGTAAGTCTGATACCAAACCCAACCTTTTCACTCCATGAAGGTTGTTTTTGGATCTTCATCCAAGCTTGAAGTAAATTTAACAGACCTCTAGCAAAATGAAGCATTGTTTTTTTTTGTGTGTGTGAACCAGCTATTTTTCTCCTAAACTTAAAGTGCACAGATGAAAACTGAACTATTAGCCAGGTAATATGTGCTTCTTGGTACTCAAAACATGCAGATGGGTAACAGAGTAGTTGGAGCTTGAGATCTGGATCTAGCCAAAAGGCTGCTTGAGAATTAAAGCCAGGTTTGATGGTTCTATCCTATTAATAGTTTATGAATTCAGTATCTGAATCACAGAAAACAGTAGTTAAAGTGGCAAGGATTATTACTTAAAATCCTGCAATCAGAGCTTGCTGTTTTAATTAAAAATAACTAATCAACTGATTGATGAAGGGGAAAAAAAGTGCCTTGCAGGTATATATTCATTTTGCTGCTACTAGAGTATTCTATTTGATGCATTTATTGATGTGAAATCTTTTGGGGAAAGAGACATTGAGTGCCTAAAAAGCTTGTAAGAGCACAACAGAGCAGGCTTCTGAGAGAGGAGATCCTCCTGCAACTTTGCATGCTTAGGTGATTTATTATAAGAGACTTCACAATAAGTACTAACTCAGCAGCAATTGGAAGTGGTTTGTCTTTTGGCAGTTCAGGCAGTCCGTATAATCCTGTTGGCAGTGGCTCTGTGTGTTTCCTTGCTGTTAGGATGACATGCTGTTCTTTGGTGACTGCATACCTGGCTGAATTTTTTTTTCAAGCTGTAGCACAGAAGATAGTAGAACAAGTACTTTTAATTGTGGTGATAAACCTCTGAGTAAGAGCTAAAGTGATTTACAGTACTGTCTGTGTATATAAATCTACCTATCTGAGCTTTTTATGCCCAAAATGCACAGCTTTGGGTGTGGGAGAGAGAAGGGTATTCTTCCTGGATTCACCTGAGAAGGGAAAAGCCACTGGAGAGAAGGGTGACCTACAGCTGTGGAGTGGCTGTATCTGTCTTTGACCCCTGTGGATTCCCCTGTCATCAGAGATTCGACCTTGTCAGCGTGATTGCCCTGAATACTTGGCTAATCGTTGAATTCCAGAATGGTTTGGGTTGGAAGGGACCTTAAAGCTCATCTTGTTCCACCCCCTGCCATAGGTAGGGACACTTTCCACTATCCCAGGTTGCTCCAAGCCCCGTCCAACCTGGCCTTGGACACTTCCAGGGATGGGGCAGCCACAAAATGTTAATGAGCTTCCTTGGAGGTGCCAGGATGCAGCAAACCCCACCACTGGGAAGGGGGGATGAGCAAGGGCACCAGCTCCTCTGCTCTCTGCCTGTACTGGAAAGGCAGACGAAG